AACATTCCAATTCTTTCTAAGTCAATTAGATGCCTGTAAATTGGCAACTCAATAAATTTCCTGCTGGGGATTCGGGTCTTGCACCAAAACCTCCTGCTCCCTTCACCCAAATTTGCAGGTATTTGACAAAATAGTATGTAAAATGGGTGGCAGTGACTGGCAAATAGGGAAAAAAAAGCTCTCTGCCCTTCAGCCAAATCAAAAATGCCCTACTGTGTAATGGGAATGACCCAAAAAAATATAAAATATTCCTAATTATGTTTTTGGACCTACTTTCCCTGCAAAGAGCTTGGCCTTGCAACTCGTTAGGAAGAAAAAAGCAGAACAAAACAATAAATTCTGATACATCAGAGACAGAACTTCTGACCATTTAAGCACTTTGATGTGTACACAAACAAGTGGAATGCAGATGCTTGGCTTTTCCACTCGCCAGCAACTCGGAGCAGATGGGCTTGAAGGAGCATTCCAAAACTGCTGCACATAAGGACAGAGCTCCCCAGAGGTGCTAATAATACTAATTTCCCTCCAGAAGATGCTGTTCTTCAGCCCCAACCACCTCTCCCGAGGCTGTTTGATCAATAACTTCACATCTGAGGAACATTCACAATGCAGGATGCAAAGCAGCTTCTGCTGCTGGCTCGTGTTTAAAATATACCACGAATAAACGCACTGGCACAACAGGACTGAGGAGATCTGTGCTGTCAAAGTAAACCTTGAGATACCAGCACTTGGGTAAACAAAGTCAAAAAAAGACAAGAAAATGAAGAGGAAAAAAAAAAATATGTTTTGAAAAACAGCACAAAACTACCAGATTTTTTTCCATCTATTAAGAGCACACAGGTTTGCAGGCACATTTCTCTTTATAAAGTGTTGCTGATTAGAGGGAAGGGCTGAAAATTATTATAAAGCACCTTGGAAATCCAGAATGGTTTGGATTGGAAGGGACATTAAACCCATCCAGTGCCACCCCCTGCCAAGGGCAGGGACACCTTCCACTAGCCCAGGTTGCTCCAAGTACTGTCCAACCTGGCCTTGGACACTTACAGGGATCCAGGGGCAACCTGTTCCAATTCATGGACTCACAGAATCATTAGAGTCAGAAAAGACCTGTGAGACCACCCAGTCTGACCTGACAATGCCATGGTCACCTCCAAACCATGTCCCCAAGTGTGCCACGTTTAGATGTTTTTTGGACGCTTCCAGGCAGTTTGCAAGGCAGTGCCTCCTAAGCCCCTGCCCAAAACCCAGGATGGAGATGTGGGGAAGAGCAGGTTTCACAACCAGCCAATATCCCACTACTCTCTGGGACACTCAGGAACGTTAAGTTCCCCGAAGTGCTCCAGCTGTGCTCCCATTCCAGAGGACACAAATCATGTGGTCACTTCACACATCCCATGCAAAAGCAAGGAAATAAAAGAGCTATTTCAGGTGTTGTTCAAGCCCCACCAGCACTTTCTTTGCTATTTTAATCATGTTTACTACAGCAATGCCTAAACAGCCAACCATGGAGAGACTCTTGATTATATCAAGGCTTAGATAGTCCCTGCTTATTTCCTAAGCAGATGCTGCTCATGATTTCCCTGCTCGAATTTGATCATTTCTTCCAATAACAGCTATAACTGAGAAAAGAATTGAGAAAACATTCTGTGACAGATTTTCGTGTTCTTGGTTAACTGAAAAGCGTAATCTGATATTCGAGTTGAGCTGTCGAGGAGTGGTTTGACACATCGCTTGCATCTGAGGGGTTGATTTCCTGCCTGGATGGGTGAGCAAACATTTCTAAGTGGACATAATCACGTATGAATGTGACCCACTGCTGGGCAAGGGCTAAGTTGCATTTTGCTGCTTGTGGCACTGCTGGTTCTCACCCAAGGACGTGCTTAAAACGCAGCACAGCTAAAGAGATGCGAGTTAATTTTCCACCAGCACTTCTGGCTGCACGTTTTGAAAGGATCAGGGCACGTGGAAAGCGGTCAGGGAGGTGCTCAGAGCTCCAGAGAGCACCAAGTTATGCATCAGATCTTATTCCAACAAAGCTCTGCTGATGGCAGTGGCAGAGAAGATCTGATTCCAACAGATGACAAACCCATTCCACCAAAACAAATAAGCACATTCCTCGAAATAAATAAATTAACTTTTTTTAAAGCCCCAAACAGAAAATTAGCCTAAGATTTATGTCCCATCTCCCTCTGAGCTTTCTCCCTCAGTGCATTAATCAAGGCAAAAGCAGGGCAGGGATGGTTGTTTGCATAAGCCCAGTCAAATATGTTCGAGCCGTTGCCGTTGAAAGCAAAAAGAATTATTTTGCAGGAGGCTAAAACATTATAATACATGCAAAAAAAAAAAAAAAACAACCAACAACCAAACCCCAATTAGATTCCTTTATCCTGAGCATATGGCACAGAGGTACATGCTATGCACTAATGTCTTTTCAGAGCTATTTTGGGATCATACGAGGCTGCAATCCGAGCAGAGCGGTGACAGATCCACAGGCACAACTGGGTTACATTCATCATGTATGCGGTTCCAGAGCTCCTCACAGCCAGCAACTTCACAGGAAGGATCACAAACTGCCCTCCCCAGCCCTAATAACTCCATTCCCAACATTTTCTGGAGAAATGTTCAGTGGACAGACAGTTTCACGGTGACCGGTTTTTGTTGTCACTTCACTGGGATGTGGTATCAGTGATAAAAAGTGTTGTGAGATGCCTCTTTATCTCTTTACAGACCTTTTTCCTGCATTGCCTTTATGTATTCAGGTTTAAATATTCAACCTTTTTCGTGCATTAATGTATCTGCTTTAGTCTAAACTTAGTTGAAACTTTAATCAGGAGAGAGAATACGTTGAACCCTCTTCCCATCAGTGCTGCTTCCAACTGCTCATATCTCACACCAGTCTGACAGTGCAGGAGTGTAAATATCTGAGCTATGGATATCCCTTTTACACAAGAGTAAACAGGTCGTTTTGGAGAAGCAGCTTCAAAGCCTGCTAAAGAGCTGCAAAAAAATCCAAGTTCTTCTGAAAGCAACGGCAAAATTCCCAGTGATTTCTACAGGGACAGGATTTCGTCGTGGGGGTTGGAAACAGATGATCTTTGAGGTTCCTTCCAACCCAAACCATTCTGTGACTTTATGATTTTAGTTAATGAGCTCTGAGGCTGACAAATATGTTCTGTTGGCTAATAACCTGTTGGATAGACCTAATTTAGTTATGGTAAATTTATTTTGGATGGGGAGAAGGAAGGGTCAGGCTCCCAGGGATTGGAAGTAGTAACGGGCTTGATGGTGTCTCCTTTATGATGGACATCACAAAGAACCTTGTATATTGTTCTTATTTATATTCTGCAGCACCTTTACACAACCTTGATCTATATTATTCTTTCTCCTGATTACCTTGGCAAAGCCAGAGCTTTTCCCTCCTCCCTCATGACCTTTTCCAGGAAGGAAAGTCTTACCCCACCACAGGTCTCCATCTCTTTGGTGAGGAACACATTAGAAAGCAAAATAACTCTGTATTATTTCATCCTTAAATGTTTGGGTTCAATTATATTTAGACCTTAGAGCACTGGGATGTCATCCAGCTTCCAAGGGCATCCACTACCTGAGTGTAGCAAGGGATGGGGAACCAAATCCCAACCTTCCCAAGGTCTGGAAGCACGGATCGTTTATGGAACAGATTCTGTTCCCTCCCAGAGCAGCAGCTGCACTCAAACACATTCCAGTGGGATTGTACAGCCCATGGACAAGGTTATGGAAGGGAGAAGGAGGAAGGGCTGCAATGGCACCACCTGCTCCTGTTGGGTTCAGGATGAGATGGGAATGTCAGAGTGTTTAAAAGAGTAATAACATTCACGGATAAAACTGTGTAATAGGTCATAAACAACACGAACACAGAAATCCCATTGCCTCTATTAAATAACTTGATAATTATCCCCTCTGATACCAGGCTGACAACACTATCCCTGGGGAACAGCCACCACCAGCCACGTGGCACCACGAGCCTTTTCCAGATTTGTAAGCAAATATTAAAAAATGTTAAAATGTGAGTTGATAATTTCTGTGTGAGCCCAGAGAAACAGAATTGCTCTTTTAATTGTAAACCCAGCTTTATCTGTTATTGATACCAGCGTGTCGCTCTCCGCTCATCCATTCGATAAAAACATCACAACTTTAATTGCAAAATAATCTTTTACAAGGCAGGGTTATTCTGAGTGCTCAGTTATCTCTCTCACTTCAGCTCCTCAGAGGGGACTTTCTGGAAGGATTTGCATGGCAGTCAAAGCATGCAAAAATTTATAAATACCAACACAGATGCCAACATGTCGGGAGAAATGTAGTTATAACATTTGAAAGCTGGGAAGAAATTAATGTTGATCCTGATTGGAACAGTCACTGTATTTGCACTGTCTAGTGATTTTTTTTTTTTTTTTAATAAAAACAACAACATAAATTCAGCTTGTAGAAAACACTCCACGTCCCAAACTCCATTTCTTGGCCCCAACGTGCCAGTGTTACAGGAAGAGAAGGACAGTTTATTTAAAACAGGTCCAAGATTTAAGGCTGAGCTGACACAACTAATTTTTCTGTGCAAACACTGCCGGCTCCAAGGTGGGCATCGGCTCCAAATGAGAGATTCTGGAAGTTGGGCCCTGTCTGAGAGCAGGCAGCACTTGTGTTGGCTCTGGTGGGATTTTAGTCCTCTCCCCAGGACTAAATGGTGTGGCTGCCTTGGTTGTTCCAGACTTTAAACAAGACCCGGAGCACCTGAGGCTACGGAAACTCCCGGGAGGATAAACAAAAGTCTGGCTGAGTGTGCAGGTGGAAGGAAAGGGAAGTTTTCTGTACAGCAATTCCCTCAAAAGAGTTAAAATACTTCATATGTACTACTTAATTAATTTCCTAACAGAGCACTTAGTGGTGGGAAGATAGAAGAAGGGATGAAGGGATGAAGTTACAGGATTTACTCACAGAGCCCAGGGCAAAATTCTGTGAAGAATCTTCTCCATGGTCCAGGGAAATCCAGCACAACGCCAAAACAAGCTTCTGCCCTAAAATAAGTACAGACATTCCTGCTCAGCACTTTAGATTGGATATTGGAAAGGAATTCTAGGCTCGAGGTGAGGTCATGGCACAGGTTGCCCAGAGAAGCTGTGGCTGCCCCATCCCTGGAAGTGTCCAAGGCCAGGTTGGAGCAAACTGGGATAGTGGGAGACGTCCCTGCCCGTGGCAGGGGAGTTGGACTAAATGACTTTTAAAGGTCCCTTCCAACCCAAACCATTCAAGAATTCTACAAACTTTTATTTCAGCATTTCTAAACCCTTCCACATGTCACGAGAGAACAGCTCACCTTGTTGCTATGCTAAAAAAATGTGTATATAGAGTAACAGAATCACACATTTGGGAAAAGAAATGGGAATCTCAACCCCGAGTTCACACGAAGTGCTCCCCCCTGGCAGTGGGAACGTCCTCGTTAGTGCTGCAGCCCCAAAGACCCCTCACACACTGCTCTGCTAGGAACTCACCACCATATGCTGGGGAAAGTCAGCCAGATCATCCCCCCTGAACATCAAAAGCATGATAGTTTGCCTTTTTTCATTAATTCAGTCTCATTGTCTGCAAGGAGAGCCAAGGACAGCTGAGCCAGGGCAGTGTCAGGACACATTAGGACTCATCAGGACTGCTCAGACTAAAGCCTTCAGGACTTTGTTGAGCTGAGCTGGATGGCAAAGGTGAAAACTTAGTTTGGCTTCTAATTACTTGTTACCCATCCAGTAGAAGTCCTCTTGTTAAACAGAAATGCCAAACACAAAAATGTAGGATTTTCTTTCCTTTATCCATTTTATCTTTTCTATCAACACAGCCCCTCTACAACCTTAACCCAGCTTTCAGAACACGTGCTAAGAGGTGTATTGTATTGAGGTGATTTATTGTACTGAAATAAAAAAGCATCACAACCTCTCTGCTTTGAGTAATGGTTTCATGGGTTTTGAAAAAAAAACCTGTGAGTTTAGGTGTAAATACTTTAAAACCATCCTGATGAGCAGATTTAGGTAACACATCATTCTGCAGAGCAGGCTGACATAGTTTCTATTTTCTCTCTTGTGTCTGTGAGAACTGCTAAAAAGTTAAATTTTTTTAAAAAAGCCATCAAATTAAAAGTCATTTAAATTAAAGTTAAATTTAAAAAAAAAAAAAAAACTCTGACAGCTTAAATAAAAAGCCATTTCTATAGTTATTCCCGGACTTCAGGCAAAAGGGGCTCTGGGCAGTTTTAGTCTCTCATTCCAGAGCCAGGCCACCAAAGAGTTTGTTCAGCCACTCGGTTTGTCCAAAAAACATGAAAACCTACAGACTCTTTACTAAATCAAACAAGCAAATAAACCCTGAGGTTTCTGATAAATGAGTTCCAAGAGGCATTCATACAGATTATGACTTGCACGTTTTCATCAACACATAAATTGCTGTGCTTAAATGTAAAAAGCATGTGAAGTAATGGACTCTATATCTTACTTTGAAGATGTGTCAAAACAGAAATGAACTTTGGGATGCAATAGCAAGGGTTTATATATTGATTTTGGAAGCCAGTCTGCACATACCTTTCTCCAAACATCACATATTTCACAAAGCAGCTGCTTAAAGCTATTTACGTTGCATTAGAGATGGACAAATGGGGCTGGACAACGTGTGCCAAAGTTGAAACCATTTCAATGGATGAAAAAAGTTCAGTTAGTTTTCACCACACACATTTCTTGCCTGTCTCTGGTGCCAGGACTAACCCAGGGCAGTGAAACACCTGGGTGTCCCTCACATTCGATGACCAGAAGCAAGAAGAAAGACAGAGCTTTCTGGTCCCGAGCCTGAGCTTCAGACAGTGTTTGGGTCTAGATCCATTTTTGGGTGACAGCTCTGTAAACATCTTGAGAAAGCACATCTTAGGAAAAGCTCAGCCCCTCCTGGCCGCCCTGAGAAGTTTCAGTGACTTTGAAAAGGCAGCCAAACTTTCGGGATCTTGTCCATGTCACAGAAGTTCTCAACGATCCTCTGGATGAAGTCCATCCTTATGATCACACAGTGCTTCCCTTTAAAGAGCACCATCACACCCCGAAGCCACTGAACATTTTCTTGCTGCCAGATAGTCGAAAGCACAGGCTCCAACCCTAAAAAGGAATCAGAAAATCTCGCCACCCCCCCTTTGCTTCAGTTTTCCAAATGGCTTTTTTTTTTTTTTTGATGAAACTCTTTGAAGTTCAGCTTTTCCTCCAGAACTCCTCTGGTGCTCGGGGGACGGAGGCCTGTCAGAACAGCACATCCACACATCTGACTGTCAGCTCTCGACTCTGAGCTCAGAACAGGGTTTAATATGACCAGGAATTCCCTGCTACCCTCCACAGAAAGTTTTCGTCTCCACAGTTCAAACCCATGGTGCCATATGCTCAACGACACGAATATCTTGCTCATCTTTATAATTAACTTCAACTCCCTTCCCTGCCTGGCTGTTTTTGGCTGCTCCTCTCCAGCCTGGTGGGATCAGAACTGAGCAAACCCATTTGGAAACTTCACCTTCACCAAGGTCGTTTATATGGAGAACTGAGAAGGGGAAAGGCCCACAGCACTGACCCCACTTGTTTCCCCTCTTCACTCCGAGTTTTCTCTTTCACTCACACCCAGGGTTTCATCTCCACAAGTCAGTTCATAATCCCTGTCAATGGCTCTTCTCCTAAGCTATTTTTAAATCCCCAAAAGCCCCATCAGGCTGTTGCGTCCCAGGGTTTCTACTGCTGCTTTGAAACAAGGACTGAAACAAGGCAGCTCTTCCCTCCTTATCTAGGCAGTTTTTGGTGTTTTTAAAGACATTTGGGGGAGATTCATTAATTATTTATGCTTTCTTTATTTTCCCTTCCCTTTCACTCCAGCGAAGCCCCACACAAATACCTCATTTATCTTTTACTCTTTCAGAGAACCCTAAAATGGTTTGGGTTGGAAGGGGCCTTAGAGCCCATCCAGTGCCACCCCCTGCCATGGGCAGGGACACCTTCCACAAGTCCAGGTTGTGTCCAGGGATCCAGGGGCAGCCACAACTCATCTGGGAATTTCATCCCATCCTCTAACCACTCTCACACCCAGGAATTTCTCCCCAATATCCAGCATAACCCTTCCCTCTTGTTTTCTTTTTCTCTCTCCCTCTACTTTCCCTCAGGTCCTCATTTCTCCTGTTTTCAGGAGCAAAAAAAAAAAGGGAGAAGAACAGGTGAAGTAGCAGCAAAACTAAATGTTTGGAATATTTTCCCTTTAAATACCCAAATGTAAAAGTATTCTCCCCATTCAGCAAGAACAACAGGAGGAAAAGCAATTGGCAATATTCAAGAATTGTCACAATTTCCTCATTTTTACCCATCCCTAGAAAATAAACGGGAGCTATTCAACCACGAGCACATTTCACTGAAGTGACACTTAACAATCCAAAAATATGGCTTTTAGTTCTGCATTTCTGTCTGAGCAGGAGATGATTTTCTGGGTGGCTGCTGCAGCAGCTGCACTGGTCCACAAAAATTCATTATTTGAGAGGAAAAAAGAGGGTTAATTGTGCCAGACTGATATTTTTGGGGTGGTTTTTTTCTGTTCTGTTAAGGCAGACTTGCACATTTAAAAATGAATCTTCTCAATATCAAAATCTGAATGCCACTTTCTTTCTACATCTGAGAGTGGAGATGGATTATATTGACATAAAACTGGAATGTGTTGCCTCCCAGGGCTGGGAAGTGGCTCGGGAAGGGCTGGACACTGATAATTTCTGCTGACTCTGCATTTGGAAGTTCAGATCCAGATTTAATTAATCTGCTGAACACAACCACTGGATCCAAGTTCAGCTGCTGTTCTGCCAAGGGATGAATCATTTCACCTGTTCCACATAAGGTTTCACATCATATTAAATCCTCTTTTGTTTCAGAGACTTTTGTGGGCAAAGAAGTGAAAGACAGGGAGAATCTCAAAGCAGACACAGCATTTTGCTGGCACAGGGAAAGGTGGATTTGTGGGCTGAATCATAGAATTATTTTGATTGGAAAAGACCTTTTAGATCATTTAATCCAACCATCAGAAAAACATTCATCCATTTGAACATTTAAAATGGCCTGAATAACATGGTTATTCTTGAGGTCTTTTACTGATTAAAAAAAGCTGCATCTATAAGTTTAAAAAAAAAACCAAACACAAAAGCAAAAAAAACAAATATTTTCCTTGGTTTTAAAGCTTAATTAATTGCATACAGTAGAAACACCAATCTAAGTGCCACAAGCAGCAAGGTTAGACAGAATCTGTAGCCTGCAAGTTCCTTTTGTGTTAAAAAATATCCCCCTTTATCTCCTGAAAACATTATCTTTTAATAGCACAAGAAATCAGCCATAAAGTCGAGTTTTAACCTTGTCCCCTTACATATGATTTTTTGTTTAGTTAGATAATATTAAATATTTGATGTCATAAAATATGTGCTTGACCTCATAGATCTTTAAATATCTCCCTTTTCTGACCAAGAGATGTATCCCAGTGTATTGGCCACGTTCAAAGACAGTCTAAACAACTTCCTGGCTTCACTGTGCAATAAAACAGCTGCCAACCCCCTTTTTTTGCTCTATTTCACAGCTCCAACTGCTTCAAAAGCATTAAATTTCCTCTTATATGTGGAATGTGGGATGTAAAGAGTAAAATATTCCATAATATGGAGATATCTATGGAGGGGTGTTTGTCCATTATTGTTTATATACTTTGCTAAACAGAGCAATACATTCAATTTCCAGGAGGAGATGGGAGGAATGGGCAATATTTTGGGATAAGGGTATAACTTTATGAGATATTTAAGCAAAGATGGCTGCATGGAGATTATTTCCTGGAAATATTCCACCAGGGAAATCTGGTGGTCTCACATACATAGGGGGGAAGAATGCTTGACTCCAGCTGCACGTGATGTAGAAAATAGTCTACATGGAGGCTGTTGGGGACAGAAATAAAAGTCTGGGAATATGGATTTTTAGATGCAATATGGAGTTCACAA